TGTGGAATGGTGTGGTGTCAATTTTTTTAGTAGGTGTATAAAGAATATTGAGGGTGGTGAAATGATGATGATTATGTTGATAATGGTTTTAACAGTGGCGATCATACAGATTGTGATAATAATTATTAAAACGATGACAAATAGGAGATTGTGATGATAAAAGATGATAGTGTTCGTAGAACTATTAAAATAATTAGATAATATTATAACTTAATTATTATTTAAAAAAATCTTTTATATAATTATATAAGTTTGAAATATTTTCCAAAAAACAAAGAAAGTTTATAAGTAAATAGAGAGCACCATTAATTATATAAATTGAAGATCAATGTCATCTCCAATGCTACTTTCTACTTTAATTTTTTATTTTGATGAAATTCATAATACATTTAATTCTGAAATTTTTTCTCTTTTTTTTTCTATTAATTTCCCGGAGAAACTATTGGTGAAGAGGTAGAGTGGCATAAGAAATAGTAATTTTCATTAATAAAATATAAGATAAAGAGTCATTTAGATTCCGTAATATTGGAGAGCCAAAGACACTTTGTATTTCACTTTTAAAAATAGAGATTATGATAAAGAGAGTATTGAAGATGAAATTTAGATTAAACCTCTTTATTATAAAGAAAAATTTTAATATAAAGAGAGCATTGGAGATGCTCTTATAGTGGATGCAAACAACATAAATTTTTAATTTTTAATTCAACCAATTTGATGTTTTCCGTTTCTATACAGGAGTTTACAATTTAATTTATAGATATTATTATTAGTGTTGGACTTACTATTAATTCATATTTACAAAATAATGAATTTCACAATTATCACTTAAAAGTGTTCGTATATTCTATATGTTTTTCTAATTAAAATGTTATATTTTTTAAGTCTTTAAATTTTTATTTTTTGCATTTCAATCATAGCCATTTTAACCAAAAAAAAAAAAAAGTTTTACAGTAAAAAAAATTATTCGAAAAATTAGATTGAATATTTTAAATAATTTTAGAAATAAATATAATACCATTAAAAACCTAAAAAGAGACAAAAGTTTTTAAATATTATATAAAAATAAATCAATCTAACTATTCAAAAGTTTATTTGCCCAAACGCGATTCAAATTCCCGTCTTTCAATTTTTTTACTTTATTTTTATAGTAAAATGATTTTCACAAGCAATTTGAAAAGTTTAGATTGACTTAAAGAGATCCGCATCTACAATCGCATATTGCCAAGAAATTTGTGGTGTTGTCTCAATCTTCCCTCTTTAGTTGTACGGAAAAGTTTCCAATAAACTTTGAAAAGGGAAACACTGACACGAGATTAGAGCATGAAAAAGAAAAGGAAACACTGACATGAAGATTACAGAACAAAACAAAAGAACATGGAAGTAGTACTAATAACGGCTCAGAAAGTTGGCATGTACAATCGAAGAAACAAGAAAATATATAATTTTCTTTTTCCGCAAGGGAAAAACCAAAAACAAAAACTGCCAAATGGAGAGACTAAAACAGATCTTGATGGGTCCGTTTTATTGAATATCAGGAACCAAGCCTGTAAATTTACTGGCCAAACGCAGATATAGTTGAAATTAAAAAATTGGGTTAATTACTAAGAATAATATAAGTAATTTGGGTGAGTAGAGAGTACCAATGACTATTAAATGTGAGATGTGGACATTGTAATAACTTTAGGATGAAGGTGGGGTTCTTGGCACAAATTATTGCGCATCTTTTGTTTTTTCTTTTTTTTTTTACAAAAGTATTACACACCTTATCCATGGAGACCAAAAGATCAAAGTAGAGTAAAATATTAGCTAGTGCCTTTAGTTTTAAAAAATAAATAAATTAATCTTTATGTTTTAAAAAATAATTATTTAGTTTTTTTTTCATTTTATATTCTTTTTAAATTTGTTATATATTATGGAAAGATTGATAAGAAAAAAAACATATTATATAATAAAGTAATATTAAATTGAATATGATTAAATAATTAAATAAATAATTTTTAAAATAAAAGGAGGAATTAGTTTGTTTCTTAAAATTAAAGGAACACTTTATAATTTACGTATTTGGTACGAGCTTGGGGGAAAGTACGGTTTCTTTTTCTCTTTGTTTCGAAAGATTGCCTGATGTTTGCTACGATTGGCGAATCCATCAGTCTTATTTACCTCCTGTTTGGATAGAGATGAAAGTGAGGGAGAGGAAAGAAAATGAGGTGGAAATGAAAATTTTTTTTCGTTTGGATTGTAGAGGAAATGAGAGGAAAGAAAATAAATAAATAAATAAATGTTTTTTTTCGTAGGACCCATTTTCCACCCAATTTTGGGAGGAAACTGAAAGAAACCTGAAGCTGACTTTTTTTTTTTGTTTGCTTTCCCGTTTTTATCCTTGCTCCATCCACGTGACAAGAAAAAATAATAATAAATTCTAATTTTCCTCTCATCCCACGAGCTGCAATGGATTAGTGTAGTATTGATATCAGTAAAGAAGACCACATCCATGTAAGTCAATTTGCCATTTGGATGCTGAAGGCGACGTTAGATGATATTATTGTGGTCCGCCTCCGACAACAAGAAGTCATAAGAGCTTTGGAGTTTATTTCAATTGTTATTTTTTCCCTTTTTCTTTAAATTAATTAATAATAAATATTTTTAGATAAGCTTTTAATAAACCAAAACTAAGTGTAATTTTGTGTAGGAATAAATTATACATTGTTCTGTACAGTTTCGAGAAACAAATTAATTAGTTATTTCTATTTTAAAAATTAATAAATTATTTTTTTGTTTATTTTATATTTTTTATATTTATTTTTTTCTATTAAAAAAGAAAAATAAATAAATAAATGTTATGAAAAAAATTAATGAGAATAAAAAAATCAAAACAAAAATATAATCCTAAGGGCATTATAATAAATATACAATAATATATTTTTTTTTACAATTATCCAAACAAGGAAAATGTATTTTCTTTCTTTTTCTTTCCACTCTTATCCAAACAACAAGTGAAAAATAATTTTCTTTCCTCTTCCTTTTATTTTCTCTCACTTTCTTTCCTCTTTTTTCTTTACTCCCAGGAGGAATTATCCAAACAAGAGGAAAAGTAGAAGAGCTTCACAAAAGTCTCTACCTTTTCTTTTCCAAGCGTTGAAAAGTAGAAGCCATAGGAAAACAGTGGAAAAAAAAAAGAAAAAAACAAAGCAATTCTGTACATGGTCTCCCACGCCATTTAACTATGAGGACGTATGATAACCGTCATTTTTTTTTATGCACGTAACATATTTGTAAAAAAAATTTTCTCCCAAGAGTGGTCGAGAAAAGAAAAAACATTATCTTCCATACCGTTTCCTATCTGTCTTCTGATTTCAATATAGCAATGTCACCATGTTTTTGTGGGTCAATGGTTTTAATAAACTCTTTTAAAGGTAAAAAATATAGAAGTTAATTTATTATTAACCTAAATCCCGTTAAAAAAAATCCAAATCATCAATGCATAATTGGGAAGATGAAGAGAAGAAGATATGAAACTTATAAAAAAAAAAAACATCTTTGATTACTAAAATTAATATATCCGAATCAATACAGGAAAACAAAATCAAATAATACAGATCACAAGATATTTCACATGAAAATCATGGATGGATGACTGTGGTACTGTTTTATATGTATGAACAAAAGAATGGAAAGAGCAAAGGTAAAGATCCATGATTAATGAAAGCAAGAAAGTACTCTGTAGTAGCAGTAGTAGTCAAAAAAACAGATAGGATGGACAGAGATAACCTATGCATGATATTAGTGAGGCAAAAGATAGATTTTCTAGATAGTCTTTTGATACTTTGTCTTTGATCCAATTGAAGCCAAAAGAGCTTCTTTCACTTACCTTCTTGAACCCAGTTGAATCAACCTGTTTCGTCTTTCCAAGTCCTTCTCCAACCTACTGCTTGCATTTGGCACTCCAATCATTTCCGGCAATGGAAGCTGCAAATTCTTCAGACACCCAATAGCCGGCCTGATTTTATTTGTATTCTGATTGTTAGAAGCTGGAAAAAATCTCAGTGCTGCTCTTGAAATCTATGGTGGAAGCTCGCCAGAGAAATGGTTATTGCTACAAGGGTCACCAATGGCAAATTAAAGATCCTAGGTAAGATTTCCTATAAACATATTATTCATGATTGGGATTTTGGGCAAGGACTTGCATTGGCAAATTTCTTTAGGTAGCGATCCAATGAAGAAATTGTTCATGAAGAAGACGCTCAGGTTTCTGGTGGTTTTGATGGAGCGTGAGCAGGAGAAAGAAAAGATAAGTGTTTAGCTTTTTCATGTCATTCCACAGAGAGTTTTTATGCCAAGTGTCAATTTCAATTAAAAACTTAGCCCCCAAAAAAAAAATCAGTTTCAATAAAAAAAATTAACTGAAAAGCAATAGGAGAGAGAACATTAAAAAAAAATAAATAAATAAAAAAAGGGATGGTAAAAAAAATATCAATGGAGAAGTTTTTTTATAAAAAAAAATATAATAAAACATGAGAGGATTATCTTATCAAGAAAATCGTCAAATCCAACCGACTTAAGCTCTCCCTTAACAAAATATTTTTTCCTTTGAAATGTACCCATAAAGGTACATTGAAACCATGGTTTTTGGAAGATGATGTTTTAAAGAAGGTACGACAGTAATCCTTGGTTTAAATACGTCTCAGTGTTTCTGATGCAAGAGATACTGCCATTCCATCCAAGAATATCACATACCCTTGTCAATGAATGATGGAAGTGAGTTCGTACTATTAAAACAAGAAGAATAAGCATACCACTTGTTGCATCTATAAGCTCTGAGTTTAAAATGATCACAACTGCTCAATGAGGCAAACTTCATTGAAAGTTGTATGACAAGTTCTTCTATGATAGAATTTGCGTAGAAAACTGGACAGATTCTTTCAATAAAAATGGCCAGAGGGTACTGAGAGGTGAAAAATCAGCATTTACAACAACAAAGCTGCTGTTGTTAATAAGCGAAGTCACTCGCCTTTTGCCAGCACCAGAGATTCAAGCTTTCGCAACCAATTTACATATTGACCGACCTCCCTCTGGTGTAGGTGTAAGAGGAGGAAATTAGTCAGGTTTTCACCAATACCCTTGGCTATCAAGTATTCCTTGAGTGCACCTTGTAAATCGGAGTCCAAATCGCTGCAGATACACGAAGACGAGAATCAAGTGAGACGAACATGTCCTCATGCATAAAAGAAGATATCTCAAGTATCCAGTGGAATAGGTTTCATTGTTACTAGAAATGATATCGCAGTAAAGGCATCGTAGCCATGTTCTAAGAACAAGCTGATTTGGAATTTGAGGCGCAGTTAGAATTGGATGGCATTCAACAACACTGATACGCACATAAAATACACACATACAAGTAATGCATCATAACTTGGCATGAAGGACGGCCCCGTGGATATTACATTGTATCTGCCTATTTGTCCAGGATCCAAAATCAGAAAAGCACGTGACAGTATACCATCTTTTGTTTTTGCAGATAATGGCAAAAAATAAATACCAGATCATGATATGCATTGGGGATAAATGCCTCAACACACCAGCTCTCAAGATCACTAGGTAAAGTCAGAGCACACTATCTAGTGAAACGAAAATTGATAAAGTTAAAAGGATGAAAAAGAATGACCCATCAGGTTAAGCATCGACCCTTTTTGGCATAATGCATAATTTGCCCCCATTGATCTACTGAATACTGGATATTCAATCCAACATAAACTGTGTTAAGGCATCTAATTGGGTTAAGAGAAAAAGTGGGACTGAGGCAACTCTTCAGTTAAATTTCACCAATTAAGAATCCAACATAACATGCTAGAAAGTGCAAAACGGGAAGACATGGACCAAACCAGAAGGTGTGATTACTGAGAAAGAAAGAATAAGGAAAAGCAGGACATCATAGACAGACCATTTCAAAAAGACACCCTAAACTAGACAAATTATAACTTGGGATTCAGTTTCAAGGTTTTTCAATGAGCTATGAACTCGTTTCAGCTTTCAGAAATGGAAAACAGAAAGTATCCTAGAAAATTTTTACTCGTCATCATAATCAGAACTCAATGCTCGCCTTGTTCCTAAGGGAAGCTCATTTAGATTCACATAGGTGTATAAAACTATGCTAGAGATCTCATCTTAAACCAACATCCAACCACTATTTTCTCCAATAAGCTCGATTTGAATTTAGAAATGGATTTCACCAAAGCAAAACATTTTTGCTCTGAAAATATTAAAGTTCATACATCCAGCAGTGCTCTTGTCATTCATGCCATCTACTTCCATCAGTGATTAGATCTCAGACAATTATTCCAAAAATGGAAATGACAAGAACACAAATATTACACACATACAAGCAACTTAAGGATTTCATCTACAATCTGCAAATTAACAAACATAACATGGCTAGAAAAATTTACCTGAATGAGGGGCCTCTGTAAGCTGAAGGCTTGGGAATGGTTGTCATTGAATGGAGATAATTGGCACTATAAATGTGAAATTGCGATCCACCTATACCTTTCTCACAAACCCCACAATCAAACTGTAACACGGAGCTCAAGCTGGGCTTTTTCACGCACACCTTCATCAAAACTTCCCTCGGAAATATTCCTCCTTCTGCATACATCTCCTGTCCCAACAAAGCTGAAACAGCAACCTCTTCACCCGATTCACATTTTCTCCGCAAAACAACATCTTGCGACTCCAGTGATTCCCAATCCACCTTAAAATCTCCCAAACTATCACTCTGATTGTCCTGAATCCATGTCAATACACATATAAGATTAAAAGACACAAAATTTCTTCAAATTTGTAAACAATCTCATCCCTTTTATAAGTCCCCAAACTGGTCACTGTTCTAATCACCAAAACAAAAAAACTATATTTTTTTTTTACCAGTTGTTTTTCCACATAAACAAACACCAACTGGCTCCATATTACTTTTTAAGACTAAACCCATGTTCAATACTCATAGAAGATCGAAAAGATTCCAACTTTACTTGAACTTTTAACACAAGCCCACATCTTTAAAATTCCATAGCTGTCTTAACCACCAAAACAAACAAGTCTATAGTTTCATCAGTTGTTTTGCCACATGAACATACGCTAACTAGCTCCATTTTACTTTTTAACACTAAACCCATGATCACATTTGCTTCCTTTTCATTTCTTTTAAATTTGAAACAGCAAATGGTACATAAAATACCAAGAAAATGAAGGGTTCGTTTATCAAGTGGAAGCTAAAATCAACCAGATGGAGTTCAACAAAGATTAGCACAAAATTATGGGATTTTAAGAGAGACACCTGGAAGGGAGTATTGGAGAGTTCGTGTTTGATTTCGGACTGCAGGATTTTGAGTAAGCCCAAATCTTCAAGTGCTTTGCTACCCTTCTGCAAGATTGGGGTCACCCGAGTCATTTCCTGCAAGATCTTTTTTTAGCAGAAAAATACCACAGAAACTTATAGTGTAGGATTTTTGGTGTAGCTAAGTAATGGCGTATTGCAAGAGTTTAAAAGTGCAGGCTTTGCACTTGCCAATAAATGGCCTTCTGAGTTTTGCTTATAAGCAGAGAGGGATTTAGATTTTAGACTTGGATCATAAGGGGGATTATGGGCTTTTTTCGTAAAAGAAAGAATCATAGTAAAAGCTTAATCTAATTGATTTTAGTGCTTTTTTTTTTTGGTTGCTAACCCAATTATTATATTTTTACATTTTCAATTTGATCAATTGAACATATATATTTTTAATTTCAATCAATTGAATATGATTTTACAAAATCGCGAATATTGGTGCATTAGTTCAAATAAAAAAAATAATAATATATAAATTCATTCGATCTAAGGCATAAAAATTATCAATTTTGAAAAATCTTATTTAAAAGATTAAAATTTAAAATTGCAAACATACGTGTTTTATTGATCAAATTGAATACACGAAGATTTATGAAATGGATTTCTGAAAACATAAGATATTGGTTTAGCAATTTTCTGTTTTCAATGAAATTGAATTTATAATTGTATTCGACTAATTTAGAATCAAATCAATAACGTAACTAGGATAATGATGATTGGCACAGGTTTTACTATAACATCAATATGGAATAATATGTTTATTGTGGATACCAACTAAATTCTCACACATTGATACCATATCTACGATGTGTAATCATAGTCGAATGGTTAGTTGATATAATTATTTTTTATATTAATAGTCTTAATTTTCAAGTTTGGCTCTGAGAAATATAATTCTCAAAAAAAAAAATATATATATATATAATGTCGTGGATGCATAACTAGCTGATTGAATTCAAATAGACAAACTCAGTCTCTAGCTTGCAGTACCAAACCAACCCTCTGATTTTTTTTTTTTGGTAAACAAGTTTACCAAAGAATTGAAAACTGCTTCTCTTCTCTGGCTCAAATCTCCAAACCAAAGAGTCATTTTCCGATCACAACTGGTGTTCTTTATGCAATATTAGTATTCCACAAAGAAAAACACCATTACTACAAAAGAGAGGATCTCTTTTCCATCAAATCAATACAAAAGAACACTTTCCTAAATATAAATCGAAACTTATAAATGATGATCTTTGATAGTATAAGACACTTGCTGCTCTAGCCCAGGTACACAAGATCGCAAATACACAGACATAGACAACGACCATGGGCCATGGCATGGGCTCAACAAGATGTCAAGTGCTGCATTAACTAAGAGGAACACCATAACACAGAGTACAACAAAACTGATCCTCTAGTGAGTTAATCTGTTGTGGTAAGGGCTGAATGCAATACATCTTCGAGATACTTCTCGGCAGCAGCATAATGCCTTTTCTTGTCCTCGATGGCTAAAGTAGCCAAAGCTTTATCCTGCAGTGACAGAAAAAAGAATATATAAACCATCTTCTTTCCAGAAACGAGTGAACACAAATGCGTGATAAAGATGCTAAATCAATCAAAGCATAGAATTACCGGAGGCAAGTCCTGATAACTCCTCAAAGTATCCATGATGGGTTTGGTTTTCTTCTCCAAATCTTTTCTGTGTTCAGCCATTTCAACCAACACCCCATGGCTAATGTCTGGGGAATAGCCCACACGATTAAGAAGTGCCTGCACAATAAGTAGTTAATGGAAGATGAGCGTTCAATAACTTCCAATAACTCAAGGAAGCAGGTAAAATATTAAAAAATTAATAGGTAGAAGATTTCTTTCACCAAAGATATATATATATATATAATGCTCTCAAATTCCTGTTTGGGAATAATACTTTTATCACCCATGATATCTAGAGGTAGTGTCAAAACACTAAGAATTTAACCAGAAACACCAAATTCCCATATATGCCGATTATAATTCCACATTGTAAAACTCATCCATCACTCAGTAAGTAGAATGTAGAAGATGCAATGAACTGAAGACCCTCATCAGCCTTAAGATCTTGGAGGAAAGATTATGCAGATGCCGGCCATGGAAGTCGAGATGCAACTCTTTTGTTTAATACATAAGTAATAACTAATGATGTTATCAAGGATACGAAATGGCAGTTTTGACTTCATTATTAGCTCTATATTTTGATAATAACAATAACAAAGAATAAATACCTTGTAGTTAGAGTACTGTTGCAAATATTGTCGCTCCTTTGATGCCATTACTGCTAAATTTGTCTTCCAATTCTCCATCTGAGCCTCGCAAGGAGGGACATCATCCTCTAGCTGTGTGAGTGTTCTACCAGAGAAGATCCAGAAAAAAAGAAGAAAAACAAGCAGCAAAATAGAATGAAAGATTTGAGATTTGAAGCTGTTACAGAACATAAATTACAATGTACTCAAAAGAGAACACGAATTTAAATTTTATGAAGTACCTCTTTAAATAGGTAAGCCTGGCTATTGCCTTCCGTGTGTAATCAAGGAGAATTTTGGACTCCTTCTGTACTTTAGCCCTCTTCTCTTCTACTCCAGTCTTTCTTAAAGAAAGATCCCCCATTGCTACAAGAAAACTATTTGCATTTCTCCAGTTTAAACTCATAACATTAAAAAGACAAGAGCAGAGAAGCAATTTAGCAGCTAGAATGACAACCCACCTGCTTAGTTCAGTGTCTCTTATATTCAACAAGTTCGCCACATTTGCAAGAACTTGGGCTGATGAAACCACATTTGAGGGCAAACTCTCTTGTGCTAGTCCTACATTCTCTAGTATCTCCCTAATCCTTGCAGCTACAGCCATGAAATCAAACAAAATATTGCATCAAAAGACAAGTAATTGTATAACTCCAGATGAACTTTCACTAAGGAAATTCTCTTTCAGAAAAAAGAAACCATGCATGGGATTAACATCATCTGTATAAATATGAACCATCACCATTTACACGAATCATGAAACATGCATATTACTAATATCTGAAACTAGAAGAAAACATATAATCAAACGATTGAAGGAAAAAAACAACCTATGTTCAAGCTTTACTGGAAATCAGAAAAAAAAAAAAAAAAAAAACAATGGCTTCGAAAGACAAGAAATTAAAAACATTCATGGAAAAGAAGGCTTTTCCAACATGAAACTAACAGACCCTACAAAAAAACAGAAATCCATCTATCATCATCATTCTCAAACAATCATTTTTCATACAAATCAAAATCAAAAACCAACACCAGAAAGCATAAACCCAATAAACCAAACCAAAAGCAAACAAACAACAAAATCCAAAGACAAGACCTTGGGCGCGATACTCCACAGCTTTCTGACGAAAGTCATTGGCAACAATGTTGGCAGCCTGCGTTTTAGCTTGCGAAACAGTAGCCAAATTATACAAATGAGCAACGTTGCGTGGGGTATATTCGAATTCAGGAACACCTTTCCCTGCTGCATCAAATTGCGAGGCAAGCCACGTCTTAACTTCAGCAATTCTAGCAGCATCACTACCACTACTCTTGGCCTCCGTCACCGACATACTATCAACCCCAGAAATTATATCACTCATTGCTAAATCCTTCTTTTTTATGGGGCTTTCTTAAATTACACCACAAAACCTACAAGAACAGAAAATGTAGCAGACAAAATTTACTTTCATAGAACCCATTATAGAATTCAAGCCCTAAATTGATTTGAACCCACTGGGTCATTTTTATTTGGTTTAAGATTTGATAGAATCTGAGTAATTTATACTTAACTTCCTTATTATACAATATTTCTCTTAAAAATTACAGTTTAATCATAATTTGACATGAAATAACTGATTCAAATGTAAAAAAATAAAATAAAAAATAAAAACCCTCAAAGGAAAAGGGGAAACAAATCTAGAGAGAGACTGACCTTTGCTTAGTGCCGAATTGGATCGGTTTGCAAGCAGCATTGGTGGAATTAAAAGAGTGAAATTTATGGATTCTATGAAAAGAAAAGAAGAAATCAGATGATAAATAAGTAACTAGACATTGCTTTTGTTGCTATCTTTTATGAAATCAGAAGAAATTTTGTAATCTAAGAAATTTGATTATTTGTACTGAGGAGTGGGAAAGAAGCCGGCATGTGGCGAAAATTGGAAATTCAAAACTCGAAAGGGCTAAAATCGTCAGGTTGTGCGTTGGACATCAGTCAAATCACTCCTCTTACTTTTGTTTTTTTTTTTTGGGACAAAGAGAAAGGAAGAAGGTAAACTATTTTAATCATATATATTCAGAAATATTCTTTTTTGATTACATTTGAAGATTATTAATGTTAATCATATACTTATATGATTAAATAATTAATTGAACAATTTAATATAGTAATAGTTAAGGTTTAAGATTTTCATTGAAAACTTTAGATTCAAATTCTAAAAAAAATAAAAGTGGGATTTAAAAATAAAAGAAAAACTATTATTATAAATAAAACTAATGTAAAACCATTGATTTTACTATTCATTCGCTATTTGAAACACTATTCACCCACACTTATATTACTATTCACACATACTTAAAAACACTACTCATTTCACTATACGAGTATCATTTTTATAATTTTTGAATACTTTTAATATATTTATAATGAAAGTTTTCCTAATATTGCACTTTGATTTCCCTTTTTTAAATGTGATTTTTTCAATCCGTAAAATATTTTTTGTTTGATTTCGATCCCTCTTTTTTGTTTTATTTTTATCGCTTTGGTCCTTTTTTTCTCGATTTTTTAATCAAAAATTTTAAGGCAAAAGAATGTTTAAAAAACATTACATGATACATTTTTAACTAAGAATCCATTGGTTTTAACATTCTTTATACTATTAAATAATTTTTTTATAAAACATTTATGAAAAATAAAAAGAATAATCGATCAAATATAAAATTTGATATATTTTAATAGACGCATAATGTAACATCGGATATCAAAACGAAATAATTTTTAAAAATAATTTTATGTATTTTGTTCGACCCGTAGCATAGCGCGTGTAAAAAATTTAATTTGGTATTGTTTGATTACCAATAATAGAATAATGAAAATAAAAATAAAAATTTTATTCTTATCTTGTAATTGTTTGGTTGAAAGAAATACATAAAGTGAGAATAAAAATTAAACATAATTTCATTTTCATATGGTATGTGAAAATAAAAATAAGAAATGAGAATGAAATATATTATTTTTCAAAATAATGATATATTATTTTTATTTATTGTATATAAATTATTTTTATCACCACCATCACCACTTCTATTGGCGTTAGTGATAAAAAAATTTTTGAAAAAAAGCTTTTATTATTATTATTATTCTACATCATTTTTTCATAAATCACCACTATCATTTTTATTGTACTTGCTACCATCACCATTAACAATGATGATAAAAAAAAATATTATTATTATTCTTTCTTTACTATCACTATCACTTTTTAACCACCACTTTTCTTCTCTGTCATCTCCTATGATAATGGTATCAATTTAAAAATAAAATATTAATGCTATTACTACTATCTCATTTTCATTTTCATCCTTTTCCATTACCTCCACCACCACAATAATTACTTTTATCATTTTTACTACCATTACAGACTCATGAAATTATTTTTTAATTATTATTTTTATATGTATTAAAAATTAGATATTAAAAAAATTTAAATTTCATTCTAGTTCTTTATTACTATTCTAAACATAGTGTGAGAATGTAAATACATACCATCCTGATTTTTAAATTTTTATTCCTATTCTTACGTCTTCATTACTGGACTTTTTAATTTCTATTGTATGACTCAAACTTCCAAGATTCATAATTTTTTTATTATTTCAAGGTTTTTGTTTTTCATGTTAAATTAACACTTTAAATAAAATACAAGCAAATAATTAATATATTACCTTAAACTCATTGAAGTAGAAATTTTCATTTTCATGGAGATAGACTTCCATGTGGGAGCCAACGACATCCAATCACTATTTGAAAGTTATAGTGATTTTTGTGGTGCACTTACTTGATGAAGCCAAAATGTCGAACAAAACAAATAAATAAGTGAATTAATAATTCCAATATAATATATGAAAATGTAAAACTAATTATCGCATATAAAACATATTATTTACTAGTTATTCACGACTCAAATGATCCGTTCATTATCGGATTTAGTAGAACTTTTTGGAGTCAAGAAAACCATAATGGGATTATCCACAACGGGAGGGCATTGTTCGAGGGGATGTAGACGTGCTCGCACCACTATCAAGTGTGCGACTCCGACCAATTGGACCAACGGTGCCATATACACCACAATTATCGGTCGAACGATCAATATCGAGTCTCGATCACTAACGTTGCAACCAAATCTACCCAATCCACGAGTCATGATTGAAAAATAGCACTTGAAATAGTTTAACAAACAAATAACAATTCGATAGAAAATATATTATAAATTAAAACAAACAAAATTCAACACATCTAAAATGCACAACAAACATAAAAAAATACATAATAGATAAAACGATATAATTTAACGAATACAATAAAATTGATCTTTAATTACAATTTTCATAATAATCTTTTAAGTTTTCCTCTTATTCGGTCGATCCCGATACATATTCACTCTTATCGATCGGACCTCATTGTTTTGTTTCTGCATTTTCGAGGCAATGCAAAATTATTTAATTATTAATTTTTTAAATATCTAATAAAATTTTGACAAAATCTTCCCTGTAAATTGCACATTTTTCAATTAAAAAAATACTCCAAATGATCACATAAAAATTATGCACACCGAGACCAACAATTATCTCGGATACTTCATCAAAATTAAATTACAAACTCTTCCTTCGATCTCCATTGCAAAGCATTGAATCAATCTTATTTCTCCTCAATTCCCGGAGGTCTCTAACCCCTTTGGTTCAATATACTACGATGTATCTCGCCACACTTCAATAATTATATACGAAATAATTAAACTAATTAATTCTAAATCTAAACTCGTTTAACAATTTCTCATATAAATAAAATTTTAATTCAACAAATTAAACAAAATTAACCTAATTAATTCAATAAATTAAAATCAAATTAACTTCATTAATTCTAATTCTAACCAAATTAAATTTTATATAATAATTAATTAATAATTTCAAATATAAATAAAGTTTTAATTCAACCTATTAAAAAAAATTAACCTAATTAATTAATTAAATAAAATTAAAATTAACTTAATTAGTTCTAATTCTAACCAAATTAATTTTTATATAACAATTAATTAACAATTTCAAATATAAATAAAGTTTTAATTCAGCCTATTAAACAAAATTAACTCGATTAATTAATTAAATAAAATTCAAATTAACTTAATTAATTCTAATTCTAACCAAATTAATTTTTATATAACAATTAATTAACAATTTCAAATATAAATAAAGTTTTAATTCATCCTATTAAACAAAATTAACTCGATTAATTAATTAAATTAAATTAAAATTAACTTAATTAATTCTAATTCTAACCAAATTAATTTTTATATAACAATTAATTAACAATTTTAAATATAAATAAAGTTTTAATTCAACCTTTTAAACAAAATTAACTCTGATTAAGTAATCAAATAAAATTCAAACTAACATAATTAATTCTAATTCTAATTCTAACCAAATTAAATTTTATATAACAATCAATTAACAATTTCAAATATAAATAAAGTTTTAATTCAACCTATTAAATAAAATTAACCTCATTAATTAATTAAATAAAAATCAAATTAACTTAATTAATTATAATTCGAACCAAATTAAATTTAAATTAACAATTTCTAGTATAATTAAACTTATAATTCAACTAATTAAAGATAATTAACGTAATTAATTATAAATCTAATTAACTTAATTAATTCTAATTCTAACCAAATTAAATTTAAATTAACAATTAAATTAACTTAATCAAGACTAATTAAGTAATTAATTAACAAAGTTTGTCTAATCCAACCAAATAAACATATAATTAACCTAATTAATTAACTAGATTTAAATAAAATTAACTTAATTCATTAAAAAAATTATGATTTGATCGAAATTATAATTAATTAACTAATTAACTAACAATTAACCAAATTTAACAAATTAATCAACCAATTAATCTAACAATTAACAAGAATTAATAATTTAACGAGATAAATCAACAAAATAACAATTAAATATATACACAATTATAAAGCCAATAATTAAACTTAGATTAACTTATGAATTAAAATAAATTTCTAATTTTAATTAAGAAAACAAAAGAGAAAAAAACATACCTAATTCGAGTAGAATTACACCAAGAGGGGAAAAAAACGGAGGTTTTCTTAAAAAAAAGACTTTGAAGTGGGTGAGAATCAATTAAGAGTGAAGGAGTGAAGTTTGGTGGTGTTTAGAGGGGTGGGAGATCTCAAATAGTCGTTGGTTTTGGAGAGGGAGAAGAAAATGAGGGAGGAGCAAGAAGAAGGAGATTAAATTAGAGCTGAAACTTAACGACGGACGCGATCCCACCTCAAGTCCGTCGCTACTTAGGTTTCCATCACTAATCCATGTCTAAATTGTTGTCCATTTTTTAACGACTAGACGCCCATTTTTCACATTTTGCAACGAGACTTAAGTGTCTATCATTAATCTATCTCAATTTGTTGGTATCCATCGCAACATTGGTGGTTTTTATATTTCAAAAGCTCAACCCTAATTTTGCCCGGAAAAACTCCCCTTTATTGACCGATTTTACCCTTGCTAAATTGCGAGGGAATGAGAATTTAGCAATGGAATAAATCGTTGGAATGAAAATAGCGACGGATATCCGATCTATCAAGCCCGTCGCTATTTTTTACCGCAAATTCGTCGCTAAACCATTTCTAAAATACCCAAAAAGATTATACTCGTCAATTTTAGCGATGGATTTGTGTCCATCGTTATTCTATCTTTAATCCATCATTAAATTCAACAGTAGTTATTATGTCGTTATTTTTTTTTATTTAGTTACCAACTCGATTCCATCACTAAATTCCATTGCTACTTAGTGAATTTCCCTTAATGTCAACATGTAAAGAATGGCACTCCAAAGAGACCCGGAAGGCCTATTGATACTTGCATCTTCGCAACTTACGACGAAAATCAGAAACAACTGGAATATGAGAAATTTTGGGGGCTCTTTTCTTCCAACTAAACAGCCTAGGAACCAAATCCAACTTTACTAGAAGCAGCATAAAATGGGTATTAGGGGAATAAGCCAGGCCATTTATTTTGTGCGAGGAGCGTCATGTTTCTAATTAATAAAGGTTCCTATAGCATCATCTAGTGTTTGAATTAAAGAATAAATAATGGGGTGTTTAATGAATATCATTATATTGCTTTAATGATTGTCATCCAAAATCCATGGGGAACGTACGTACATTTGAATTTATTGTGAGGCTAAACATGACAAGGAACTTTAAAAGCACATCCTATGGTGCACCATTAATGAACACTCAAAAACATTTAGCAGGATACACAAAGTAAATTGTACCAAAATAATGTTCAACACATAGCACTGACGTTGTCGAAGGAAAATTGTGTCATAGACACTTATAAATTGTACATGGTCATGAAGCTGCATAATAATTCAGATCTGACACCATCATACCTGGAGAAACTGAACACAAACAAGCTCTGCTGAAATGATGATTTGATCAGGCGTACCGAAAGAGTTTCATTACAAGCTTCTTCTTTTTTTTTTTTTTAACACAGGCCAAACTTTACATTGAGGATTCACCAACTATTTCTCCCATGACAACTTGGTGCCAAATGAAAACCGACTCACACTTGATCTCCACCCAAAAAGAAAAAAAGAAAAGAAATACAGATACGAAAAAGAATAAAGTAATTAGTTATGGGATTCAAAGATTAAAATAAGCTCTAGCAGCACAGCAATGAGATGTTGCAACTTATCCTCTCGAAAGCTTTTGAAGGCTTCCTCTTCAATCAAACATGGAAGGGTCATTGGAGCTTCCTTGTAATCGAGTTTTTTTCTCAAGGCCCTGAATACCTGATCTTGGAGTAACTTCAGCGCCTTGCTAGAACCATTGACTGATTTGAGTAATCCTCCAGAAACATTTTAGTTGAAAATCCTGTGTTATTACCTCTAGGGCTCGAATTATCAATTTATGCTGAAAATTGAATGTTGACATCTCAGTAATGTCCATTTATGCTCAAAGAGAGATTCTGAGAAGCACCAGTGCTCTTTCTTCTAATGCCAAGCGATTCACCATTATACGTAGACCAAAGAGAGAGTCCATTCTTATATGGAAAGTTCTGCTCAAAGCAAGAATCTTGAAAACCTACTCGTTGCTTTGGTGTGCTCATCGACCTTGCCTTTAACTTTGCAGATTGTGTTGCAGCCATATATGTAGGAAAAACTGGAGAATTTGGCAAGGAATTACCATCTCCAGCCAAACTTGGTCGTGCGTGGCCAAATGATCTTCTGGGGAAGGACACCGGGGTATTTAATCCTTCTATAAAATCCTGTTTCCGAGTACTTTTGGTCTTAATTTGTGCAGGGCTGAATATATCACGAGTAAACAGATTAGAGATGGAAGTTGATTTCAAATTCTCCATCCTTTCTCTACTATTGGCTTCTTTGTTTGGCCACTGTTCCATCCGGTGACTCTTTCTACCACTTTCCTTGGCCAGCAGCGATTCTTCCAGCAGACTATTCCCTCTCTCCTGAAAGAAAATTAACGTTTCAGAATCCGAATGTGAGAAGAAAAGGACTAATGCTTAATTTGCTTTTCAATAGATTAAATAACTCCTTTTCTTTTCTTCATTTCCCTGTTGCAAGCAGTAATAGAAGATAGAGCATACGGAAGGGCATTTACGATAAAATTACCTGGTGGGAAAATGAGTATTTCATCATTCGATCTCTTTTGATGTTAGCCTCTTGCTTTTTAAACCACAGAGCTTCCACATCTTCCTTTGAAAGCATGCTATAATCCCAACTTCTTTGGCTGTTGAACTCAAGCTGCTCATGAAAAATGTTGAATCAATCAAATTAAGCAGCAGAATTCAGCATCCTACATAAATTTGAATATGGAGCCTCATTCATGTCAATCATGTATTAGATTTTACCATATGAACTGGTTGCGTATCCTTTTTATGGTTCTTCCCCTGAACAGAGAAATCAAGCATAGTGTTAAATCACATGAAGCTCAGCCAAAGATCATGTATTTTCATTCTCTAAAGATATAAAATATCCTCGACAGAATTGAAAAGAAAAATGGCTTCTTAAAAATCATTTCTATGACTATAGCATCTCATTTTTCTTTGAAGTTTCTTTTGAATACACTCTTAACAAACGTTTATTAAGCACCAAGAAACATAAAAACTTAATTTCAATAATCTCTGGTACCTTATTTTCCTTCTCTAACGCCTCCTTATTTGACTTGAGGAGCTGTGAAATCATCTCTCCTACCTTATTTTCCTTCTCTCGCACCTCCTGCTTTGACTTGATGAACTGTTTATTTTCACCATTTTTACAAACTCCATTTGCAGAGGCAATACCTTTTGCCTGGACCTCTGACCGCCTTTTTGCTTTTGATGGCAGATGCTTCAATTTGATGACTGCTTGGCGTCTCACAGCTTGTCCACGAACAATGGCTTGAAGCTTCACCAATCCTTTTAGTGCTCGCAAGGCTTTCCTTGCCTGTTTCAATCCCATTGAAAACCCAAATCAGGCAATCACTCATGTTTCTTTAGCAGAGCCACTAGCTTATAAACTCTGGTCTAGTAATCAGGCTACACAACTTACTTAACTCAATTCACACTAGTGCCAAAACTGTTTGAGCTTAACTCAATTCACATAAGTTCCGACCAAACTAGTAGCAAACTTCTCGGAACATAAGTAATAGGCTGCAGAAAGTGCTGTTTGTTAATTTAATTCATGAATTAAGCGAGATGCAAAATGAATTTTCTCTGTTGGAAGTTTTCAAATGATTGAAACATTCTCAGATACTAGTGGAGGGATTGTTTCCTCGTAGAACGACTTCAAAGTTCAAAATTGTGATTGGAATTTTCCAGCCTACTAAATCAAAATCTCGTCTATAAATAGTCTTGTATGCACAAATCATAAAATGATCTCACGTAAAGTACAGAAAGAGATTAACTTAGAGAATTAGAGACATAGCACTACAATACCCATCTTGAATGCAGCGTCAACAACAGGATATATGAACTTAAGAAATTTCAACAAGACATAGCATAACCACAAGATAAAAAAGGAAAGAGTTATTTCGTAAAGAAGAGCAAAGATTTCTGAGAACTCACAAGGTATGCACGGAAAGCGCTCTGTATCTTAATGGCAGCCAAAGTTTCGACTCCCTTGGTGAAATGGTGGGAAGGCTGTGAAGCACCCGTGAGCCGGACAACCTCAGCTGCAGCATGAGCAGCAGCAACGGCAGCCTCAGCTGCAGCTGCTGTTGCAAGGGCAACAGTCAAAGCATACTTCCTCTGTGTTTCTGTTGCTTCATTGACCTGTGGCGCTGGAAGTGCAGGGCATTGTTTGACTTTGAGCCCTCCAAGAACCCATTTCCAACTCTTTGATTTCTAAAATGGTTAGAATTAAGCAGAGAAATCAACCACAAAGAAATGCAAAATCCACAGTTAAAATAAACAAAAAGAAGACTGTTAAAAAAACTCAAACCTTTTCTGCTTTTGGTTTTTGCTCAGAGACAAAGAGCCTCCTCACCCAACCAAGCCAGCACCTTTTCTTTGCCATTGAAGATGTATGAAATCAATCACTTCAACAAAATTCATAGAACATCATCTTGTTCTGTTCAAGCAAACCTAAAATTTCCATAAGAAACCACAAACTCTTTACCAAATTTATGAAGAACTGCCAGAAGGAACATCTCTAAAAGGAAAAATTAGGGAGGAGAGGGGCAAAAATAGAAGCAAACCACCCTTAAAACAATAAACATGGATTATTTATTCTAAGAAAATGCACTAGCAAACAAAACCAATTCATCCATTTCCAGCCTCACCCTTTCCAGACACATTGACATCATACTCAGTTACTTCCCTTCTTTTTATTTTACTTTTCTCAGTTGACAGCTACAGTTGAAGACAAAAAAAAAAAAAAATTCTGGAAGCTGTTACATCTAACTCTAGAAATGCAAAACTGGGAACTTAATCAAATACAAATACAGAACTGGTAGAAACAACAGAAAAAACGTACACTAGTGCCAAGAATCTTACCTCTTAAGAGCAACGTTAAAACTCAAAAGAAGAACACCATTGGTCTGAATTGAACCTTGAAACAAGGTTGAATCTTGAAACCTTGTGAAAGTTTAAGATTTCCTTAATTCGTGGTGGTAAATGGATAACCAAATTTCAATGATAATAGAAACGGGGTTTTTCTTGTTTTGTTGAAGTTGCTGTTTTCAAGGATGTTGACCATCATCATTAGCTAAGCAGTAGAAGAAGCATAACTATACAAGGAATCCACTGATGTGGCATATAATGCAGGTGCTTGGGGAAAATGGATGATGACTTGTGAGAAGAAAGCAGATCACCTTCATGGGGGTCCCACTTTCCAATTGTCATTTCTTACAACCGCCACTGACCCTTTACAAGGTCTGTTTTACTGGAATTACTCATGTACCCTTTTGTAAAATTGTTCACATATAAAAACGAAAGGTTTTACCGCATTTTAATACGATACCATTTGAATTTTTTTCTCGACGCATAACTAAGTTTTTTCTATAGAATTTAAGAATTTTATTTTTATATTATTATTATTTTAAAATTTAATATGCTACATAAACATACATAATAAACTCTATTTAATAATAATTTATCATATATTATAATGATTTAAATTAAATTTTTATAAAATATAAAAAATTTAAATTATTTTAAATAATTAAATAAATAATAAACGTAAAAATAGCATAAAAAAATACAATTCAATCATTTCTTCCTAGAACTAAAAGTCAACTTCTCTCTCCGATTCATTTCAGTTTTTTTTTTCTTTCTTTTTCTTTCTTCCTACGTTTGTAATAAAAAATGACAATCCCTGATCTCAAATTCCAAACCCTCCTATTTAATCCTTACCTTTTCAATTATAAACCCTAATCCTTATTTTTTTTTAATCATTCTTTTTAAATATATAAAAATATCATTATACAATAAAAAAAATAATACATTTAATTCTTGATGAATAATACAACAAATATGAATAAATAATATTTTAAATAGTATAAATGAATAGTTATTAATTTTTTTTTGTTAATATCCTTGGAAGCAGAAATTTTCAGCCTTTGTCGTTCTAAAGGAACGAAAAGAATTCAAGGAATGGAAATTCTCAAATATATACCAAGCTAGTTTTGTAGCTTTTATTCCTCTACAGGGCTCCTGAAAGTTGAAGTTGTTTTGGTTTGGTTTCTTGACACAAGCATTGAAAAACTGGTAACTTAAGCTAGACAGTCATAAAATTAAAGGATTTGGCTTGCCGAGCACACGGACTTGCAAACTCGACTTGCACCCACGCAACAGAGAGAGAGAGAGAGAGAGAGAGAGAGAGAGGGGGGTGTGGAGGTTCAAGAGGAAATGGAGATTAGGGTTTATAATCGAAAAAATTAGGAATTGGATATAAGGGTTTGAAATTTAAGAATTAGGGATTGCACACGGATTGTTATTTTTTATTACAAATTGGACTTGCATCCTTGGTCGAGTTTTAGATAATTCACTTCCATATTTATTGTGGAAATGAAAATAGTGTTTTGTCTGACGAAAAAGAATCATAATTGGATTTTTTTTTTTTTTTTCTTGTTGAAAGAGTTGAGTTGTCATTCCATGCAAGGACTATAAAAAAGGTGAGTTAGCAAGACAAATCCATGCCATGTAAAACAACGAATTTCAAAACATGTGCCCATAATTTTATGCATGTGCACTTCATTTTTTTCATTATCTTTTATGCACTTCGTTTAACGAGTTTGCATGGGCAGACTAATTTGAAATGTCTGTAATTTCTTCCATTTCTGTTTTTTTTTTTTTTTTCATGTCTGTCATTATTTCCCTTCACTTGTTTACAATTGTCATTATTTCGACTAAAATTAAGCAAAAAGTGTAATATAACTACCAAGGATTTAGTAACATTCCACAACGGATGAGGAAAATCTTAAGCATGTTATATTATATATAAAGCGAAGTTAAATAAATAAATAAAAAGGTATAAATATATAGAAATTGTGGAGTTGAAAGTAAAGTTTTAATTTCTTGATTGGCCAAAACAATACCTTTCAAAGATGTTGCTTGCTTTGCCCCATCTGAAACCCTGCCTGACGTCGACATACATAGAACCGGCAGGTAGTTTTTGTACATTCCTTGTGACATTTTATATTTTTATGACCATAAATATAAAATTAGTCCTTTGCTTTCTATAACAAGGCATGAGAATTTAGGTCCCACGTTCTCCATGATAACCCATGTGAAACTTAACCCATTTTTTTTGGCTACAGGCCTCATGTTTATCGTCCAAGACTTGACAAACTTTTTTGCTCTTGCCTTTCTATTATCATTTCTGTCCCAGCATTTAGAAGGGTAACGTAGCTTTTGAGCTGTTGACGTGAAAATGAGTAATTTCCAAAGAAGTTTGTGCTTAATCATGACTTTTTGCTCACAAGAAGGGGGAAAGTGGCTTTTGAGCTGTTCTATGGCCCAGGAAGAAGAGTCAACAATTTTCTAGAGAAAAAATTTGCTTTGCCATGATACCGGCTAGGCTTCTTTTTCATCAACAATGCCGTTCTTCTTCTTCTCCTCCTCATTATTACTGTTGTTGAATGTTTGACAGATTAAGTAAACTTTCGATCCCTAGAAATTATTGCACGAACCAACAAAGTGTTGGAACGTGTACATTTTTCGAAAAAATCTAGAGCATTAATTATATTTTTCAACTATCAAGGTATCTTGATAATGATTTATACCTGCACCAAGATTAAATGTCATATTCGAATGATTTTAAAGGCACTCCTCACGCATTTATTGAATGAATTTTTTTTCAAACAAAATTCTTGAATACTAATTTAAAATTAAATCTCGAAAAATCAAAATAAACTTTTTTAATCACTCAACTTAGCCAACATATGTGGGTTAAAGAGAAGACATAAATTATGATCTAACAACTAGTAAATTACATTGTTTTCTCCATTCAATTCCTCGAGTCATTAGTTTTGAAACCAAACTTATTTCATTGTTTATGATTGATTGAGTGAGTCTAACAGATTAGATCTATGTAATAATTGATTGAAAAGGGATCAATGAATTTTGTGCTTACAGTCCTGCATGTAGATCAAACACAAAGATATAAATCTCAAAATTAAAATTTGCCCTTGCTTTATTTAGCAGGATGAGTGATCCAACCTATTACTTTTTTAATGGAGGTACTCAAGTCTCGAGTCACAGGCTTTTGGTGGTAGGTGGAACTAGTTTAAGATCTAATCTCTTTGCTTTTCAGCTTCGAAGAAGGCTTAGAATAATCATTTGTAAGATTAGAATGATCTAGGCTAAGTTTCATGCGAAAAAGTTGGCGGAAAAACATGGATGGACTTATCATAACTTGGAATAAAAAGGAGCTTTTGACCTTGTAATTATGATGAAGAGTATTTGGATTAGGTTTCATATGCTATACTTTGATTACTTAAACTCAACTGGCAATGAACTTTATATAAGTTGCCAAAAAGAAAAACAAAGGAATGTGTACTATCACTGTCACTATAATTACTAGCATAAACCACCCATTTGCCAACATTGATGCATTTCTTCATTAGATTTTGTTATTAATAAAGAAATTAATCCACCTTTATCATTGCACTTGCTTCTCGCCTAGGATTGAACAATTATGTGAAGCAAGAAGCGGCACAGCCAAGAATTGAAAGTTTTTTTCCCCAGTTACATGAGTGTCCCGTCATCAGTATTTACTGTGCTACCAAAGCAACAGTTCCCTAATTCTGGTTCAGCTTCATCTCCTAGGGCTTTTGATTCTTAAAGACTTAACTAAGCTTTACCGATAGGTGTATTTGTTTTTATGCTATCATATGTGAATTGGAATAATAATAATAATAATAATAATGGATGGTCGTCTAAAATTTAATATACATACACATACAGAGACTAAAAAAAAGAAAGAAAAAAAGCTCGAATATACCTCGATCCTTGAAAAACACAAAAAAAAACAAAAGAAAATTAAGCCATCTAGGGCCTTTGAATGTTAAGGCTAACGGCAAGGCAGGGCCATGAAAGAAAAAAGCACCCAAGTGAGAAACTCATATTTTTGTATGGAAATTAATTGGTTCTGCTACATGTCACTAACCTCTAACCTAAGCACAACAATTTGATTGGTGGATTATTTTCCTCACAATTGACTAAACTATGCTGCTGGGTTGCTGTTTGTTGGGTTGGTAAGTACCAGACATTAGTCAGAAAATTGGTGGATATTGACCTAGTCTCAGCCATGCTAATTAACTTGGATGAATTTAAATTTTCGAACTTCAATTACAAAAGAGTTATGCCCGTAATGCAGGTACTGACTAACGAGTTAGGTGGTCCGTCAATTTCTTTGGTTTAGATATTTTAGATGCCTAAAGCTTCATGCTCTATAGATGCTAACTTGGCTTGTCTTTTACAAAGCAAAAGAACAAAAACAAGTCCTTCCCTTTTGTTAACTAATTACACAACATGTTACCTTTACTGACAGGCTGCTATACTACACATAATTTT